CCCCCCCCCCCCCCTTCCACCACTGCTGTCCGACCACACTGCTTGGTAAGAAACGAATACTTAAAGGAGAACTACGAGGGGAGTGATTTTTACTCATCCTCAAAGTTGGAGCCGACCTGTGACAATGAAACTGTCACACGTCAACTCTATAGATCGGGAGGAGAGCGAACACATACCGTCGCTTGCTCACTTTCTGATCATCTCCCTGCAGAGAGCGGTGACGGTCAGTCACCGCTCCCCGCAGCAGAGATTCCCCCCTCCCTGATCCTCCAGCACTGACTGGAGGAACGGACGGGGGAGGAGGCGGGCATAGCTGGCTCTGCCTCTAGATAGGCAGAGCCCCTGTCACTCATCCAGCTGGGTGGATCTCGACAGTATTGTTGGAATCCATCCCGGCTGCGACGCTCTCAGTATATAGCGAGCAATAGCTTGCTATATAGTGAGCTTTGGGTCATGGGAGAAGGTTAGTATATGTCCTCCTGTGACCTTGAAGAGAACTATGGGATAAAAAGGTTACCCCATAGTTCTCTTTTAATGAGTCCTGATTGACTGTGCTGGTCTTGGACACCAGACACGTGCCGGAGACCAGCGCCATCACAATACAAGAGGAGCGTCAGAGTCTGATAAGCAAGCAAAACAAATGACAAACGCACTCAACAACTTGGTCACCAGTTATACAGTAAGGTGCACACGAAATGGGCTTTGAACAGTGGTACAGTAGAAAGGCATCATGGCACACTCACAAACCAGCATGTAAAACAACTTGTCTCACCACTAAGGACAATGACAGAGGTTTGGATACACGTCTTCTGCAGAGGATGTGAAAGCCGCACTGCCGCGCCAAGGCACCTCTTATAGTGCGGTCCTAACTCTAAACTATGAGAGTCTCCATCTTGGAGCACATGGGGGCAGAAGATTTCAAATTGGGTGCAGGCCTGTCAGGAGGAAGCCCAGTCTCCTTAAAAAGGCACAGAAACACACAAGGGATCCCGCACATCCCAATGGCAGCTGAGAACCCCCATGCGTCACTGCACCAAATCAGTCAAGCAAAACAAATGACAAACGCATGACATGGCGCTGCTACCAAATATTCCCATAGTGACACCTACAGGCAAAAGCCGATATAGCATTCAGACTCCACTTCGCTGGTGCATAAAGAAAGACGGTACGAGTTCCATTGCTGTCCTGCTTTACAAAATGCTAGTTGACGTTCTCTGGCTGAATGTCTCTGACGCTGACCTGAAGCAAACATTCAGATCCAGGAAGTCAGGATTCCTAATCTGCATATTTGTTCTGGGCCAGTCATTCCAAAAGTGCTGAAGCTGCTGAATCAGCATGACAGCCAGGGAATTGGCTTTTTTAGGAGAGGTCAGCAGTGGCAGCCTCCATACGTCTTCACTACACGATTTTTATTAATATCTATTAGGGATGCACCGATACCACTTTTTTAAGACAGAGTACGAGTACCGATACTTTTGATCAAGTACTCGCCGATACCAATTACCGATACTTTTTCTTAAAGGGACAGGTCACATTTTTTCTAAAGCAATACAAACTAATGATTTTTGGTCAGTTTCTTAATATTATGATTCATGAGATGATGAGGGAGCATGACGCCGGCTTCCGGCCAATCAGAATGCCGGGCGCTGCGTCATTACACCAGGCTTCCTGATTTGCCGGGAAGTCGGCTCCATGCTCTCTCATCACAAGTGATGAGAGAGCATGGAGCAGTTTCCCAGCCAATAAGGAAATCGGGCAACGTGTAATGACGCGCTGCCCGGCTTCCTGATACAGGAAGTACTCGTGCTAGGTATCGGAGCATTTGGGCGAGTACGAGTACTCACCCAAATACTCGGTATCGGCACCGATACTAGTATCAGTGCATCCCTAATATGTATGGAATAAAGGGCGAATATTAGGGATGCCCCAATACCGCTTTTTCGATATCGAGTGCCGATATTTTTTTTTTGGTACTCGCCGATATGGAGTACATTGTGCCCAGATTATCAGGAAGTCGGGCACGGGATCATGATCTGTCGCCCGGCTTCCTGATTGTCTCAGAAGCCTGTGTTCTAGTGGAAGAGCCCTGGCTTCAGAGGCCGCCTCACTTCCTGACCAATCAGGAAGCTGAGCAGCGAGTCATGAGGTGCTGTGTGATTGGTCAGGAAGCCAGGCTGCTTAGCAACACGTGAAGCCGGCTTCCTAGCCAATCAGGAAGGCGGGGAGCACATCATGACCCGCCTGCCGGCTTCCCGATTGGCTAGGAAGCCAGCTTCACATGTTGCTAAGCAGCCTGTCTTCCTGACAAGGAGGCGGTTCAGTACATGCCACCGGGCTTCCTGATTGGTTAGGAAGCCAAGCTGCTTAGCAACACATGAAGCCGGCTTCCTAGCCAATAAGGAAGCCGGGAGGCGGGTCAGGACACACCGCTGGCTTCCTGATTGGAAGGGAAGCCGGCTCCATGCTTCCTCTGTGCTGCCGGTCAGAGGGAGATCTCTCTGCAGAGACTGCAAACATACTAGAGGAAATGATGATCAGAGACTGCAGACATACTAGAGGAAATGATGATCAGAGACTGCAGACATACTAGAGGAAATGATGATCAAAGACTGCAGACATACTAGAGGAAATGATGATCAGAGACTGCAGACATACTAGAGGAGATGATGATCAGAGACTGCAGACATACTAGAGGAAATGATGATCA